AGAGAGAGAGAGAGAGAGCGGGGGAAGGGGAGGACTCGCCCCGACCCCCAAGCCTGGTAGAGAGAGAGAGAGAGAAGTCATCTGCCGCGTCAGTATTGTAGACTTATGCTTCCCCATAACATATGGGGTGTGCCTTGAGCGCGAGAGGGAGCGTTCTCCCCCTCTCTTACTCTTGGGGAAAAAATGTCATCTGCCGCGTCTCCCAGGGCGTGCTCGGCAGCGGCCCTTAGAGCATGAGAGAGTCGTCTCTCTTGGCCTGAGGGTGGACGTTTGCCTGAGCCGGGGGTGCGATCAGACCGTCCATGCAGCAGTTTGGCTGAAACGGGCCTCCCCGGGGGGCCGCAAGTGCTTCCCTGAAACTTGAAACTGGCCCCTCGTCTCGGCGACGGTGGCCCAGTAGTAAAGGGGGGGAACCGAAGACCGAAGACCAATAGTTGATCACAAAAGACGACGCCGCAGCTCGAATCACCGAAGTAATGACCTGTGCGCCAAGGGGCGCGCGACCTCGAGAAGGGCTAGCACAGAAGGTCATGAAGACAGCAATCCGGATGGACAAAGCCAACAAAGGTGACAAGAGCTAATTCGTCGAGTACAACCTTTTTGCAAGCAAGGTGGTACACAATCAACAGTGAACCAGTTACGATCCAGTCGCTACTGGAGGCACCCGCCTGAAAAAGGTCGGGAGCCAACCTGAATTCACTGAAGGGGGGTTTTCGAGAACTGCATATGCGCCATGGTGCGCCCAACCCAACATAACCCAACATAAGAGTGGAGGGCCGGTAATTCAGGCATGTCTTTCCCCCACAAGCCTTGTTACGTTGCCATCCAGTGGCCCTGAGCTTGACGAACACAATTTTGTTCTCATACTCCTTTGCTGCCTGCTTGTTTTCCTCGCATGCTCAAACAACACGGGCTGGCGTGCCGTTTCATGCAAAGCACGGAGGCCAGCCTTCTCATCCCTCCGCTCAGGAACGAAACGGTTGAGATCAACTCTGAAATGTGTTTGTGTCGAATGCACGCCAGTGCGCGATGTGGTGTCGCAGTCTGTGGCATGTTCCCGCGTCCAGTTTTGCATGATGTGTTGATGTACACCGAAGATTCATGCTCAAAAACAGAACGATGGGTGGTAGGAGGTAGGAACCATTCCGGCCGGGGAAGACTGGCCGTCCGCTGCGTGCGACGCCTAGCCCAGACCAAGTGTGACAGATCGAACAGCTTGCATTCTGGAGTCTCCTGCTACCCTGCTCAACAGGCGACAAACGCATGGCCCAGCCTCAGGACGACCAAAGTGGGCAAGGCAATGCACGGCAGCTGCCCAGCGTATGAAATTAGCTGCCGCACATGCCCTGCAGTCCCACCGCAAACTCCTGGCTCGGATCGGGACTCTCTCGGCACCTGACCGAGATCTGTGTGTTGTTCCTCGCATGGATTCCTTGCAGTCTGTGCGCATCATGGCTTTTGCCAGCAGGCATTCGAACCTTTCATCCTGAACAGCAGGAATCAAACGGTACGGAGGACGTCGCGAGTGCAACTCTATCAATTGGGATCCCGAACGGCAACCTGCTGTCGCATGCAATCCACATGCCTTCAGGACTTCAGCAAGGACGTTACGGACGGCATCTTTGAGAGCATTTTGCGAGACTCTTCAGTAAGAAGCTCAGGTACACGTGTGTATTGCTTGTTGAGCTGTCAGGGACGATTAGGCCCTAGTATCAGTCATGCGGCGAGGTAGCACCTGGCGAGTCCGAGGATGTGACAAAGCTTAGAGCGAAGGCACTTGCTTGAACTTCCCTCCATTTCGATCCATGTCGGACGCGAAAAGCTCTAGAAAGGTGTCGCAGCTCGAGACTGAAGTTTCAGGCGAGGGCATGTGCTTCATTTGGATGCACCAGGAAGCCGGCACCAAAACCCACCCCTTCGGCGCAGCTTCGCCAGGTCTGCAGCACGAGCTATCTCAACGCCAGGTGTGCTGCCATGTATAGTCGAGTGACCACTGGCCTGCTCCCAAAAACCCCTACTTCCTTTATTTAGCCTTTGCAAGTATGGACGGTGTATGAATACTATTAACAAGTATCCTGTATAGTATAAGCATGATACTACAGTAAGAAGGAAAATAAGGGGGACAACAAAAAATGCATCGGATCTCATTGATCTCATCAATTATTCTCAGCCGTCAATAATCATCATGTTTGTTATGATTGCCCGTTCTTCTTTCATCGCTAGGTATGCATGCACAGACAGCTTCCTACTGTATTACTTTCTGGCTTTAAGTTTCTGTGAAAGCATACATGTTGCCCCGTAGACGCAAGCGCACATGAACGCGCACACGCACACAGACCGGCGCACATATTCTACAGACATAACCATACATATCCATACATACCCTTTGCCCTGGCCCTTGCGGTTTCTCTTCCTACCTATACCTTCGTACCTACTTTCCCACCCACCTACCTACCCCAAACCTACCCCTAAAAACACTTCTAGTCTAGGGGCCTGTAGAACCTGGAATAGGGTGCAGGGGTGTGCACTACAGTATGTAGGGAACCCTTACCCTAAGGGTATCTAAGATTATCTACGGGTGCGGTCAGTCATCGTTCTTCTTGCTTCGTGGTGTCCGAAACGGATCCAGCAGCCCTGCATGGGGGGGTCTTGGACCCTGGCAATAACCATAAACCACGGCGAGAAATCTTCACCTCCCGGCGTTTAGTCCCACCAAAGCTTTGGACCCACTAACCCCCTTGAACAAAGCAAGACTAAACCCATCTAAACCCTACCCTCCTCGGTCAAGCCCTAAACTTCCTAAACCTCACAAAACTCCAAACCCCTCGTAACCCTAAGCTTCCAAAGCCCACTAACCCTCTTAGGACGAATCCATAAACATGGTGGGGAACACGAGTCGCACACAAAAGTATGCACTGAACTGCTGGGACCGCGAATTTTTGACGCGGCAACACCGGTCTAGCAAAATACACACGGCATAGTGGCTGAAGCACGATTTCGTGAGCTGGAGCTGTTGGTGATTCGGCTTTTGGCGGTATTGGTTTCGTTCTTCCCATTTTATCCTTTTCGGGGTTGGCATTTAAGTGTGTGTGTGTGTGTATACATATGTATATCTACACACACATATATATATATATGCACACATACATGCGTCTATACGTGCATGGACACATATACACCTTTCCTCTTCTGTATGTTCATGCATGTGTACATCGACATTGTTTCCGCTTCACAGCGCTGTCTGTATGGTCGCAACAATGGCCTGTGAGTCCAGTGAGCCAAGTGTAGATGCTGACAGTGTCGTTTGTTTGGGGTCTGAGTGTCGGGTTTAGGAAAGTGCGTTTAGGGTTTAGGGCACAGACTCGTATTCAAAAGTGCCTCACGGCTTTGCGGGTGGGTACTTGTGTCCCGTTGAGTTGTGATTGTGTGTGTGTGTGTGTGCGTGCGTGTGCCATGACAACCTGCTTGGCATCGAGTCGCACAAAAATGGCTGGAGCACGAGTCTGCTCGCCGCAGATCTTTCGAAATCGTTGTCTCTTCAAGCCGGTTGTGCGGCCGAATTCCACCGTCTCCACGAACTCGCTCCCAAAGCAGGGTAGAGATGAATGGCTGAGGGCACTCGGCTTGGTCGGATCTTCTACCATATGCACAGGGCTGCTATGCAAATACTTGCAGGACAGCGATGCAGATGTTGATTATGGGGACATCCACTACTGGCAGGAAAGATACAAAGAGGAATGGTACAGGCAACCCCATGACTGGCTGGGTACCTTTCAGTCCTTGAAGCCTTGGCTTGGCGCAGCGAAGACGAGGGATCGCATCGTACATCTGGGATCTGGAACAAGCCTACTAGCAGAAGACATGCTGGACGAGGGGGGGTGTGGTGAGATATGGAACGTGGATGTGTCTGAGTCATGCGTGAAGGCCATGCAGTCCAGAAATAACAAGCATCAGACAAGGTCACACTGGGTGGCCGGAGACGTGCGAGACATGCGCGACATTTTTGAGGATTCCTTTTTCGATTGCGCAATTGACAAGTCCACACTGGATTCGGTGTGTGACTGTAATCGGGATACAGATGCCGCCAGGTATGTCTCAGAGGTGGCACGGATTCTTCGTAACTCTGGTGTCTTCATCGTCTTCTCCTTTGCACCTCCACCAGCTCGGTTGCATCACCTGCAAAAGGCTTTCGAGTGTGACGTATCAGTTGCCGAGGGCCAATGCTTTGTTTACACCTGCTACAAGCACAGAGGCAGCTCATGAGCCCCGAGGCCCCTGAGTGTTGAGATCACTCTGACCTGAGCTGGCCATGGAGAAGTTCACAGAGCGCAGCAGGGCAAGGGAATCCGGGAACGTGCTTGGACTCTGCGGCCTTATGCGGCAACTCGGAAGACCACGGACATACTGCAGCGTCGAGTCGTGGGGTCTCCACAGTCAGCCCACCACCACCGTTCTGCAAACGTGTGGAAGCGGGTGAAAGTGCATGACCTTGTTGTGCCTGTGCTCTTGGTATCTCTCAGTCACGGAGCCGATAAGAGCGTGAACACTCGCCAGGCCAGCACTGTCGTTCCAGGGGAAGGCGAGCAGCTAAGCTGCGAGCCAAGCCGATTCCCTCGCGTGGGGTCTGCGTCTGGTTACGTGAAGCGCTCAGGTTTCGCAGCAACAGCGTCGGAGGAGCGGCTGGCGTCGGCTGGCGTTGGCCCGAGCTTCTTTAAGCAGCGATGGTGGGCAGGAGCCTCCGCTGCTTGGAGCTGCCTATCAGCAGATCTCGGTTCTGAACACACAGCCGGGAGCCCGGAGACGGGTGGTTTCTAGTTTCGCTGCCGTCGTAGCCCACGGCCACAAAGGCTTGCGCACCTCTACACGGAGCTCACGCTTTCTCGGACCGAGGCTTTTCTTCGTAGCAGCGTCTGTTCTGTGAGTTCATGGCAGAGTCTGATGACAGGCGGCGAGCCTTCGCGCCGACAAGGAGCAGGCGGAGGCCAGACCGGAACTCGCTGTGCGTGTGCTTCTGTTTCCGGCACCAAGCCGGGTATCGCAGGCCGGTGGCGGGGAGCCTCGTCTGCACACGGACTGATTTGAAGTGAGTTCCCCCCATCTCTGTGTCCGTTGCAAAGTTTCAGCAGAGGCCAACGAGAAGCTTGCAGCTTCAGAGGCTGCTGTTTCAGCAGCACAGGCCGAGAGCCAGCTCCTTGACATCGGGACTCGCGGGAACGTCGGATTGGCAGACACCACGCACACCCGATCATTGCCTAAGACCAACGGCAAGCACAGCAAATTGCTGATCTGGTCAGTGACATTCGGCACCTTCAGCCGCGAGCTTGCAGTAGAAACATGGTCGTAGTGCAGCCTGTAGAAGCCCAGGCTGGACCTCGAGTACCACCAGCAGAAGGTCGATCAGCTTTTAGAGGCAACTGAGATGTGAGAGCCTGGAGGCCTGGAAGACACTCTGAAAAACGTTGACAGGAGAAGCAGGTGGTCATGAAAGACATGAAGTCTTTACAGCAGGAGGTGACTGAGGCCACTCCCCCTGGACTCTCCAGCAAGAGCCGGCTGCTGGATGTTCTCAGGCCCGGCAGCAACTTGAAGAAAAGGAGCAAGTCCTCAAGCATCAGGAGGTTCGCGACCAGTCCCAGTTCGCTGAAGCAGATCAGACTCCCTGTGCTCGAGGTGGATCTCATGCACTACCGTCAGCTTGAGCAGCTCCCACCTCGGGCCGTGGCCTCCAAGACCCGGCTAGGATTCCCAAGACCTGAAGGCAAAGTCCTCGTGGAGGTAAAGACGGTGCAGCACTCAGCTGGAAAGGCCAAGCCACTGCACTGAACCAAAGGCGGCGGCTCGTGATGAATCGAGGCGATGACGGCGTGCTGGATGCGTTGCGCACGGAGGCTGCTGCGAAGGACAGTGCTTGGAGCTGAGACTCTTCCGAACTCCGATGCGGCAATCTGGCACCGTCTCTGGTGCAACAGAGAGAGAGAGCGAGAGAGAGAGAGAGAGAGCGAGAGAGAGAGAGAGAGAGAGAGACTAGTGGCAAGGGGGGTTCCCTCCCTTGTCCTTAACCCTGCAGAAAGAAAGAGACTAGTGAAAGGGGGGGCAGCCCCAGTGCCCGTAACCCTGGCGAAAGAAAGACTAGTGAAAGAAACCTTCGGCTTGAGGCCCTCATCGTCTCCCATTACGAGCTCCACAAGGCTTGAACCTGCTTGAACTGGTCACATTTTCTTTGTCAGTTTGCATGCACCGGATGGGTCTTTGTGACGTTGCCAAGTTGCGCTTCTTGTCTTCCTATACTTGTTGGCTAGGAGAAGCTCATGCGAGATCGCCTAGAGCACGGCACCAAGACGGTGTTGCATCGAAGTGCAAAATGCGGTCCAGGCCAACCGCGTGTGAAATCTAGGCAGAAAAACCTGAAGCTCATGGAGCGCATGCAAAAGCTGATGATGGCTTCTTCCTCAGAGTGGGCGAGCGTGAAGCTCGAAAACTCGTGCTATCCCAAACCCTGGGACCAGGTAGTGGAAACCATGCGGAAGGACAACGCCGGAGCCACTGGTTGGCCGCGGATCCTGCAAGTAAAACCCCTTAAGCTAGAGGTCAACTTGGAGCGTTCACTCGCGTCGAAAGACCGGATGTACGAGGAGAAAGATGTTCTGGCCCAAGTGTGGCCATTCCTCCGGTAAGATGCCATATACAGTGTCCCGGCACAGGCACAGCTCCGAATAATCATGCAGAAGGTTCGGCAACTGCAGAAAAACACAAAGGCAGGGACCCGACAGAGATGCCACTCATCCGCTGGCGGCTTGATTGGACTCCTCGTGCGGCCAGGGCAAACCCAAAGGGGCGGCAAAGGCCAAGGTAGGCAAAGTGAGATGAGATTGAACTCCTCGCTTCGAGCTGGTTGACCAGGCACCACAGCCGGTTCTAGAGCTCGAAGGTTCCGTGCAGGCAGCGCTTTAGCCTCTTTGCATATCACTTCCATCTTCGCTGACACTGCCATGGTTGCACAACGCATCGCAGAACCTGCCACCTCTTGAGTCGTCCAGATACTCGGGTCCGGCATGCGCCCAAGTCGCCCCCCCGAACGTCACAAAAAATGCGAAATAAAATGCGAGTGTTCCTTGTCTGGACGTCGAGGCAAGTGGAAAACAGAGTGGTCGCTCTACTCCACGGGGTGGGCCTGAGCCTGAGGAATGCGACATTAAACGATAGTTTTTCAGAAAATGAGAATGACGAGCTTCCGGCAGGTCACCCTACACAGGCCGACCGTGAGAGGCACGCCGCCTCAAAGCCCCCGCCAAAATGTCACGCTCGCATCTGCTTTTTTGCGCCAGGGTGGAGCTGGCTTCCAACGCGCGGCGGAGAAACATCTGCTGCTCGTTGGCCAGACCCAGGGCAGCTGGGCCGCACCCCATGGGAATCCCACGGCTTTGGTGGACAGCTTCATCGTCACATGTCAGGAGAATCCCGAAGCGGGCGGCTCGCGATAACATTGGAGCTGCTGTCTTCGAACAATGAGTCTCACACACCAAACGTAAAATATGAGCAGATCCACGACACGGCGCATCCATTGAACCTCAGGCTACAGGGGCTCGTCATAACTCTCGCAGTGCTGTGGCTGTGCTTTAAGTGTTTCCTCTGTGGAAGCCTCATCGCTTGGCGCCGAAGGCAGTCCAGCTTAGTGTGACCACTCATGGGCTCCGCCCCTGAAGAAACAGTCGCTTACGCAGTCGAGTGGGTCTTGGGCTGTGGCTGGAGGTTTGCGCACGACCCACGATGAGCATGTTTGAAAGCAGCAAGGTTTGAACCCGACATCATTGCTGTATTGTTCAAGCAAGAATTCGACCATGTTGTGCCCAAAGAGCTCGACTCTATTTACTTAACTTGACGGCAGATGCATAATTACTTCATTCGTTCATGAGGGAAATCGGCCCAACCTATGCGAGTGCATTGGCATGATGCAGCATCTAGCTGCCGCTGATACCTTCGAAGGAACCGCCCAGCTACATTCCTTGAACTGCCACCTTCAGATGCCCCTGGTTTTTCCAAGTGGGAGGACCTTGTCAACGTCACCTGGTGGGCCTGAGCGATGTCGCTGAGGCCAGGCGCTGGCTGAGCAGCAGTGCAAAAGCTCTGAATGCCTCCTCTTCCTCGGGACCGAAGTCCGCACCAGTCTGCGTTCATGTTGGGCGTCATACCTGAATCCGGGAGAGCTGAGTGCAAGGCGGACTTGCCGAGAGCTCGTTCTCGAGGCCATGTATCTGCCTTGTCCTACACGAACGTAATCATCCTTCATGATGCAAAGCATTGCCAAACCTCGGATTCGTTTTCAGGTCGTTCTTCGCCGAGCACTGAAAGCAGGCGGAGATGGTTACTCCCTCAGCTTCGGAGGACGTCAGAACAGGACAAACATGTAAAACTCGTGTTGCTTGCTCCGTTTTTGAGCTTGCAAGGCGCAAGGTGGAACTATCAAGGACGGGTTATTTTGAAAGCCAACCTAGCCCAGGCTTAGACCGGCTCCAGATGGTGGTGGATGCTGCATCGCTTCGAGCTCCGTGGCTGCATCTCCACACAAAAGAGGGCCCGCGCAGAAGACCGCGGTTCAGGTGCTCAACTCGTTCCTGCGAATGGGCGATTTGCACTCCGAGGATAGGCTGCTCCGCGTAGCATCGTAGACCTTGCAGCCGACCTGTTCAGGGTGTCACCAGCGTCGAGCTGCTGGAGGAGTCCCGAGAGCCTCTGCCGGATACCAAGTCTTGATAAGGAAGGCAGGAAGGACGCCGGCAGAGGGCGCGGATTCCAAGGCCTGGGCTGGATGCGCTGTATTTCCTGAGGTTCGTAAACGGTAAAGATAGGGAGAGTCTTCGGAAGACGCAATGCCAGGCCGCAGGGTACAAGCATCGAGCGGGTTCTAGCGGATTTCAAGACAGCTCCGCAGCACCGACAGGCTGGAGTTGAACAGATGTCACAGCTACTTGTACGTCGATTCCGGGGGACAAAGTCAAGTCAGAGCCGAGGTGCACCTCTGCTTCTCACAGCCGCTGGAATCCACGCTCCTCTCCAAGCTGGTTGAGGCACGTGTTGCACCGCTTTTTGTTCTTGAAGCCTGTGGCGAGCACTCACGGTGGCTGGAGCTGAGGCCCCCGTGCTGGCGCCGCGCGCCCGCGGCCCAGCGGGGCCCAGCGAGAGCGGAGCCGAGGGCTTCTCTGCTTGTCATCTCGAGGTGAAATCTTTTGTGGAAGTGCCCCTGAGCTTCGTGGTTGTACAGGAGAGCGCATAGAGCGCATCGTATCAGCTCAGACTGAGCGGGAGCTACTGTCAGCGAGAGAGCAGACGTGGCTCAGGATCGAGGCTTCCACTTCGACTCCCCAGAGGCGATCATGGGGCTTTTTCCAGAGCGCAGCACCCGGCGGCGGTCGTCCACGGTCACGGTCGGGTGGGAAAGCGTAGCGGCGTAGCATGGTATCATAGAATTACAGTATCTATTTAAATCTATCTGAGTCCCAGGCCTGATGTGCAGCTGTTGTCAGACACGGTCCAGAAGCTGGTGGATGTGTGCCGATGCTTGCAGGCAGGAGAGAGTAGTGCACGGACAATACTGGTACCTTTGCTCTTCAGTAAATTGATTGACAGTATAACAAGGAACAGTGAAAACGGACGTGTGCTGCACTGGAGGTAGGCGTTGGGGTTGCCTCCGACGGCAATGCCGAGCTTAACAAGCAGCAGTGTTCATTCTAGATGTGAGTTATGCTAAGAGAAACAGCGGTGAACCGTGTCAAGTGCCATTCAACGCACCTGAGTCGCGACATCGCAAGACTCATTGGCCGGAGGCCACATCGCCAGTGATCCGATTTCAATCTGAGTTATGTCTGCGCCTGATTCTTGCGACCGCTTGTGACTGAACATGTGCCAACAACTGCAGACGGCATCCACTCTGAATGTCGCAGACAGACAGAATCCGTGAATCAGGCCAGGACGTGGCAGAAAGAGTTCAGCGCGAACTTAGTATGTGGACAACCCAGACGAGGTTCATGCGAGATTCCCATGGATACTTGCTGCGGCAGTCCTCCATGACTCAAATGTTGATTACAAAGCGACACTAAGGCATAAGAGCTTGACTACTCAGTCTCACAGCAAACCCTGCCTGGGACCCGGTTGTCGGCGCATGCTGTGAAGCATCAGATGGGAGATGATGCAAGGCCAGCTACTTATTCTTGACCGCTCGATTGACATGGCGGCGGCGCTCGTTCACGAATACTCTTATGAGGAGTTCCTGTAATCACAAGCTGCAAACACCCTGCGTCTGAAGTAAGCCCTTTGCGGCATTGGAGGCCTGCGTCTTTGATCTGCTCGACGGCAACATGCTGGATGCAGATCGGAACATTGTGACTCTGAACAGCGGAGGAGCCGGCCTGGTGTTAAGATGCTGATGTCGTTTCGTGGTCCTTGTTTTTGTTAGAGGTTGCTTTCAGTCCTGCAGACGCAGACTGCGTGCAGGACACAGTAAGGAGGTGCTGTTGGCGGACCCCTTATGGGAGGCCACTGTTATTCTCATTTCGGGCGCCTCTTCTCTTGTCTTGTTGCTTTCTATGTCGGCTCAGGAGCTGAAGTATATGCACCTGGAGGCAGCGAGAGAGCTCGTCGAGGTCAAGGTGGGAGCTTCACAGAACTGCACGGTTTGGAATGCTTGCTGCCTGGAATCCGGCAAAAGGTGGATGAAGTCAAGCGTTCCTAGCTTACGACGCTTTCCGTGACCGCTTTGCCACCATGGCTTTGATTCGAGACCAGGCCAGAATGTGCAGCAGGACGCAACGGCGATCAGCACCCGGGCAGTGACCTGAGGGATGCCTGGAAGCTCCGGTCCCAGTCTCTGTGCATCGTAGGCAATGCTGGATCAACTGCGCGCAGCGCCTGAGATGTCTTCGTCTCGACATGCTTTGAGTTGTTCAGGGGATGCCGGCATGGCAGCAGGGGTTCTGCAGTTTTTGAGGCGAGATGCGGTCGACCGCATGGCACTTCATTTGGCGATGATCACGCCTGGAGCTAATTGGACCCACATAAACCCACGTCAACCCTAGCAAAGAAAGATGCCTCTTCGGTCTGAAGGCAGATCCACAGCCGCCTCAACTCGGAACAGATCCTGGAGCCCCTTCTCCTGGGTCTGCTGGAGCAGGACTGCACTCCAAAGCAGAATGCTCCCTTGCTCACGAGCCTCATTGTCTCTGGGCTGGATACAGGTGGTACAGGGCATGAAAGGCGGAAGGCCCGAAGGCAGATCCTGACGAAGACGACCGCTCACGCCCCATTTCTCGCAACACATCGCACCCCCGAGCCAGACCGATTACAGCCTGGGCCCGTGTTCTTTTTCTCTACCGTGCAGGACATTGCCTGTGGAATCGATCGTTCTGGCAAGGATGTAAAGATCACAAATCTCCAGACAACCTTGCAGAGGAGTTGCAAATGAAGGGGTTCAGCTATATTTGTGGACCGAGCTGATTGTGCAGGATTCTCACCGACCGTCCGGAGCTGTCGAGCGAGGTGAAGCTTCGCTTGCTGATGCTTTTCTTCGTGCCCGCCTAAGCTGGCAGCCTCAAGCAAAAAGAGCATCCAATTTGCAAATGCGCCCGCCATAAGCTGATGCGCACCTGCCCACAGTGGAGGCCTGTGTGGCCAACGTGCCGGAGGCAGTCCTTCTATCCCTGCGAAGTCGCAAGCTACCTCGGCGTATTGCATAGCATGGCGCAAAAGCAGAGGCAAGCCGATCGAAGCTGCTGGACGTGGCACAGTTGGGAGCAGACGACCAACAGGCTTTGGGCCTTTGGGCCCAGGGGCCCAGGACTGATTTGCTGCAAGTCGCTCTGCTCAGGCTCTGATGAACATGCTGCGCACTCGCCTGATGGAGGCCGGCCTCTCATGGTCTCATGGCGTATCCGAATCCTGTCACTGATTCCGAGAGCCGAGAGCATCGCATGCAGGTTCCAGAGTCGCAGAGGCACAAGCATGCCAGCGGCTGCTCTCACCGAGTTACGAAGCAGCAGGCAAGATGCTGAGAAGTGCGGGGGGGGGGGGGGGGGGGGNNGGGGGCAGCAACAGGAGTCATCGGAGCAAGCCGCAGCCTTCGGATCACCAGCTTTGCAGATGCTGACGGAAATTGTTGGACCCAGATCCAAGGAGACACAAGACTGCTACCAGAATGCTTCCAACTACATCGACACTCAGATCTGGTACTGTCAACTGTGCACTGTGTTCTATCGATCGGATCATGGCTTCCTTGCCGCGTGTACTCAGTGTGCAGTCACACGTCGTCCACGGGTATGTGGGCAACCGTGCTGCTGTCTTCCCCCTCCAGCTATTGGGCTTCGAGGTAGACGTGATCAATTCTGTGCAGTTCTGCTGCCACACTGGCTATCCCTCGTTTGCCGGTCAGCGCCTTTCGGGTGACGATCTTGAGACACTGATTAAGGGCATGTCTACCAATCAGGTGCTCAATCATTCTTTCCTGTTGACGGGGTACATTGGCACCGCATCCTTCTTGAGGGAGGTTCTCAAGCTGCGCCAGATGCTTCCAGCCAGTTGTTGCTATGTTTGTGATCCAGTCCTAGGAGACAATGGGCACATGTACGTTCCCGAAGACTTAGTCGCCGTGTATCGCACTGATGTCTTGCAGCATGTTTCGGTCCTGACACCAAACCAGTTTGAAGCAGAACTACTTACCCAGATGAGTATCACTGGTATCGACGACGCAGCCGCGGCTTGTGACAAGCTACATCAGATGGGACCCAAGATTGTGGTGCTGACAACACTCGATGTGCCAGAAGCGACACGAGAGGGGCAGGACGTTGCCATGATGCTGTCCTTTTCTGGTCGGAAGTGGATGCTCCGGCTACCGCGTGTAGAGGGTGGACCTTTCACCGGCACTGGCGACCTCACCGCTGCAATGATACTCGCATGGACACAGAGGAAGCCTCATGAACTGCCTTTGGCCCTAGAAATGGCCGGGGCGGTGCTGCAGGCAGTGATCAAGAAGACAATGGCCTCCTCCGCTGCTCAGATGATCGGCGACAAGCGTGTCCCTCCAGAGTTGCGACTTATTGAGTCCAAAGTCGCGATTGAGTCGCCAAGCATCCGCTTTCGATGCCAGCTAACTCCACCGCTCAACTTTGCCTGTTTGGCTTTTCATGATGCAGTGGTCGACGGCAACTGCAAGGGCATCCTGCAGAGCCTTAGCGCTGCTGCACGGGTTTGCGTAGTGTCGGACAAGGCTGACACCTCCAAAGACTTCTCCACACTAGAGAAGCTGAGCGTCCTCTGTGTGAAGTCGGGTGACTCGCAGGCCTTTGCCACTAGCCTTTCTTCCATCGGGATCTCACCCCGCGAAGTTCTTGCAGTTGGAGCTACTTGCGATTTTCTAGCAACCGCTGCAGCCGCTGGGTGCTGTCCGGTCGCCATGCTGGTAGGTGACGACTCAGAAGGCCGGAGCGTGGGTCATAACAACATCCCCCCTCAAGTAGAGCCATGAACACAGGGTTGCAACATGTTGCAACGCTTTTGTTTTGTCTTGCAGAGTAGCAAAGCAACCCCCCGAGCCCGGGAGGTCAGAGCAATGGAAACCCTTCAGGAGGTGCCAGAGACCACCAGTCTCTCTCAGCCAAGGCCAGGCCAAAAAACTCTCTCATGCCTGTCCCCAAAGCTTTGGCCGACAAATCGTTCTAGAGACTGTCGTAATGAGGATTTGCAACATGTGTCTCTGAACGACGTGAAAGGCGGAGTTCACGATCTCTTCCTTTGACTCTTTGCGCCGATTTCTTCCAGCCTGGTCTGGCTGCCCCGAGTGATGTACAAAGAGAATGAGAGGCAAAGACTCAGGAGCTTGCTTGACCTTTGGCAACCATGAGCGATTTCGGAATGTAAAGACATCTGCACAGAATGACTTATCACATCGATGAATCGATGCTTTGCCGTTCTTTTGGAGACCCTCACCGCCTGTGCATTTGTACAGAATCGACGTTACTCAGGGTGAGTGATGAGGGCCCATTGCTCTCTTTCAGAAGGTTTCGCCATTGCTCGGTAATGAAAAGTTGACCAGCATGACTGCAATCAGGTCAGGAGCTTTTCACCAGTTGGCGGCTGATAAATTCTGAATCGCTCCGGGGCATTTGGCATGTGGTACCCTGCCAGGCGGCCAGGTTCAAGAAGAACGCAGTGGCAGGGAACTGATTAATGTCGTTGGACTATTGTTCTGAAGGAGAAAACTCACCTCAAATTTTGTGAGGGACGCGTAGTCCGGACCTCCATGATGCTAGCAGTGAGCCCCTTTAGCAATCGGAGCGTCGCCAAGGCCGAGGGTCGTTTCGAGCTTTCTCGCTTCGAGCCACGCCTCAAGGCCGTGCTCTCAGAAGTTAATTATTACTTTGGTTTCCTTTGAGCTGCTTGTTTTCGAGATGTCCTTCAGGAGATCCTGGAGCAGCTTGTTGAAGATCGGCTAAGCTTGGAGGAGCTACCTGGGCTACCTGCACCCGGTGAGGTTCACACGACTGTATTGCAGTGCCTGGAACACACGGAGGAGTTTCCGGTGCTCCAGAGCACGGCGACATGCCCTGAGCATTTGCGGTTGAGACGCTCCCAGCCATCCGTAGCTGCACTGTGCTGGCCAAGGGATGACTTTGGCCACTGGCTCGTTTCTTTAGCGGACACGCAAATGTGTGACGGACGGTGCTGGAGGCCTGCGAGAAGCCGGCGCAGCAACTGCCGAGCCTCTGGGAGCTCCAGTAATCCAGGCTGCGGCCATGCGGTGCACACATTGACTCTGGTGTCTCTAACGTGGCGGTCCCGTCCCTCCCCCCTCCGCCCCCGCCATTTCCGGATGGCTTCTTTAATATGTTAAAAGTGACCCCCTTGACCTTGGTTCGGTACATTGGGGGGCTTGGGTTGGCTTTGACTAAGTCTCAAAGGAATTGAGGGGTCCGAGTGGTTCGGGGGTTGGCTTGAGGTCTGGTTGCCTTGAGAGGTTTTAGGGTTCAGGCGGGTGTAGGGTTTAGCTGGGGTTTAGGGTTTGGAGGGGGTTTTAGGTGTTAGGGTTCAGCGGGGCGTGGGGCGTGGGGCTTAGGGCTTGGAGGGGGGTTTAGGTGGTGGGTGCCTTAAGATTGACCATTGGCAGACAGGAAGCAAACACAAGAAATCAGCCACTCCCCCCAACAAATGGTACCGGCTTGAACAAGCAAGAATAAAGACTCCCATGATACTAAATCGACCGCCACATTAGTCTCCAAGTCTTCTGCCGCAGGCCAAAGATGACTGGTCCTTCACCAGTGTTTCAGGTGCTGTCGAGATGACTGGTAGCCGGTATGCAGCCCTGATCAGTCTATCTCAAGAGGCGGGCTTGAAAGCGAGCATGCAGAAGTATCTCATCGGGTCGTGGTTTTCGTGCCGGGCCCCCCATTGCTTCAAAGCAATTCTTTCCGTTCATTCTTGGCAGAGCAGTGTCTACGACATGAGGATCGGCGGCTTCACGCTGTCGGAGCTAAGAGTCGCGGCGGAGGACAGTGAGAGCTCGAGTGCCGCACGCGGGTTCTGCTTTCACTGGCAGGTGGAGCAGAAGATGCCGCGGGGCACCGAGGCGCGGCGACTTTGGAATCTGCTTTCCCGATCACTCTTGTTAGCCTGAAGCAGGCCCCGACGTGCGTGCGCGACGACGCAATTGTAGCAGCATGTAGCCTGAATGTAGACCTTTGAGACAAAGAGCAGTCGCGTTAGCTCTGCGAGTCCAAGCTGGTGGGCCATGCAGAGGTGTGAATCACTTGACGAGGGGTGTTGCTACGATGCAGGTCATCGTGGGGGGCACATCGCTCCTGACACCGAAGAGACTGCTTCGGACACTGAGGCGCAGACCAGACCGCAACAGTTGAAACACCTCTTTTGAAACGAGAGCGGTTCTGCTCCGAGGCCGCGGAGCGATGCAGAGCCAGGCCAGGCGGTGTCACGGAGCTGCGCTCGTGGCATCTCGTGGCTTCCTCGCTTGCACCGCAGGTGAGATAGACTTGACGTGACGTGACGTCGGATCGTAGAGGTTGGATCGATTTTCCGCAAGTGGGCAAGAGGCTGCGTTGAGTCGCTGTTTACTGCGATGATCTGCGATGAGCAGTCGCCAACTCCACGGCAAGGTGCCACGCTACTGTAACAGGCGCAAATGCGCGAGCACTTCTGCAGCGTATCTCAAGCAGATGATGTGTTTGCTTTCGGAGCCCCTGTGCATGCCATGTGCAGCTCATGGGAGCCAGCTCCTCAACGACAGCCTACTCGTTTCATCTCACGTCCAAGACGAAATCACATTTTGGTGCACAGTTGTAGGTGTCCAACCTGCCGATGAACAGTCCAGTTGCATTCACGAGGGTATCATCAGGAGTCGAAACATGTCTTCCCGGGGCTGACATGCAATCTTAGAGGAACTCTCTTCTCCAAGCCATCCTGCCTGTTGAGGCGAATAACTCCGCGGAGAGGCCAGTTGCATTTGATGCCGCCTCTCTTTCTAGATTCTAGACGCGCAGACCGATCACTTGATCTCTTTGTTGACATGTCCCACAAGTGTCTTGGTTGACTCGTGTAGGCCGTCGGAGACTGGCGTGTGGGGGATCCCAGACCAGCAAGTCAGAAGTCATGGAAAGCCGCTGGCTTTCAAGCCGAAGTCTGCATCCGTGCATCTGAGACTCGCCAACCAGGAATGTCGAAGCTGAAACCGACAGGGCCGAGAAGGGGAGGGGCGGAGGCAGGGCAGCCGCGCTGTGCATCATGTTTGAGATGTTTGACCTTGGTGGGTGTGCTGGCTGCCTGGGAGCCGGGTGTCGAGACATTCCTGGATATTCCGAGCTTTGCAAGGTCTGTGCTGCTGCTCGTCAGGAAGGGCTGCACCTGGCAGCGATCGGACCTGCAGTCGTGGGCTGCCACCTTGTGCAGGAGCTGTTGGTGAGACCGATGCCACAGCGGCTGCTGTCGTACGCGAGGCGAGGTTTGCACGGTTCGTTTGCATTGCTTGGTTTCGTGCTCTGCAAGCTCCCCCCATCAAGAACTGTAAGTCGTGACGTACCTGACGTACCGGGAAGCAGCTCGAAACAGTTGTCGTTGCATTCTCTGAAGTCTAAAGTGTTGAGGATACTCACGCATTGCGACTTCGAAACTGGGAGGTGGATGAGGTCACAGAGACCTTGCCGGTTGAGAACCTGCTGCATCCTTTCGAGGCCTGGAGATCGTAAACTGTTCGCACAAGTGCATCTTGTGATGCGAAGAGACGTCTCGTAGTGATGCAAAGTAGCGGCAGCTGCTACATCGCAGCAGTTCAACGGTGCCTTGACAGGAGCTGGAGAGCAGCAGCAGCTGTTCGAGTGACCTCTCAGTCCGACGACCCAGACAGAGCTGTGATGCGGCCCGGCTGCCTGTCCTGCATGAGATTCAGGATTGCTTCCCGCAGGAGCCGCTTGCACAGGACTGCTTTTTTTTGCTGCTTCGTTGCACAAGCCTGCTTTTGCTTGGAGACCTCGACAGTGACAGGTCAGGATATCCGGTAGGGGCAGCTGGCATGTAGAAGGTGGGTCTTACACCAGCCCTAGCCTCAATCCGAAAGCCGCACAGTCGTTCTTGACCGTGGCTCAACCCAGGCCGCACAGACCTGGCCAAGTCCCTTCATGAAGGAGATGCTGTGCTTGCCGGGATCCGAGCAAGCCCCTTTAGACTTGTGAGACTTCGAAACTGCGGTCGCCACGGTGTTCCAAGATTGCATTCAGGTGCGCGGATCCTGGCTGGCAGAGCTCGCCCGAGGGAAGCGAGGCCTTAACGGCACCAAACAGAGTTTGTGCATCCGTTGTAACGCTGGTCCTATTTGCTTATCTGTGGTTTCTTTGACGCGAGCCCGAGGTGCAGTCCTGCCACGACGGCAGCAGCTACCCTCGGAGGTGCGTGCACCAAGCGCAAAAGCAAGGAAGAGCGGGAATAGCAAGGGTACACCACAAGTCCTTTCCAGCTTCTGGCATCGGTTGCATGTAGGCAGACGCCGCGGCATTTCCCTATACACCTCAGGCCATTTGCGATGCAGCCGATGTTGGCGGGGGAATGCCGCTCCTGGCAGCCCTGCCCTCGGCACTTCGACGATCGCCAGCGGAAGCCGAGTGATGATGCAGTCGCGGGGTGACATGCATGCGGATCGCAGGTGTCGTACTGCTGGGCGACTGCAGCCCATGCAGATCCAGAGGCTCGACCGCGGCGCCGACGGCCGACGCATGTGGACGCAAGCAAGACTCCCAGGGACAGCAGCTGCGTGTGCTGGGCCGGCTGCTGGAACTTTGGCTCTCAGCTCCGGACACCGAAGCGCCAGGAGCCGAGTGAGATCAAAGTCCGGAGACCGATGGCGCAAGGTTCAATGGATGTGTTTTTGTTTTACTCTGAGGCAACGGTCGCAAAGCCTCCACAGCCCGAGCATGTGCAGTCAGGACATTCGCGTTGCGACATTCCTAAACCAAGTGATTCGGCTATCAAGACGATTGATGGCTTTTAGATTGAGCGCTGCATCGCTTCTCCCAGGACGAATTTCGAGACGAGGCGAGCTTGTGGTTCGGTGCTCACGTGAGTGGCGACGGTGCCCTGCAGGTTGATGAGAAGGCCGAGGCTCCAAACCATTGGGACCCAGTCCGGAGCCTTGAGAGAGCATACGGTGCCAGGGGCCATCTTCCTGCTCCGCCCGAAGGCCCTGTCTGTCGCTTTTTTTGCAGAGTGGAAGATAGGTGGTGCAAGCATTTCTGACTGCACAGGGCGGGAGATAAGAGGATATCTTACACTAAAGTGAACAGGACAAGGTCACGTCGCATCAGGGGTACTTGTACCGAATGTTGGTCGCGATCGGCTTTACCTGCTCATTTCAACCGACTCCGAAACTGCACCTGCGGGGGACCACATGGGACGGCACGTGCTTTTTTTCGAGTGCCGGAATAGCAAGCATTGCAGACGTGCGCGTGGGCTCTGTGCAGCTGAAAGCAGCGGGGCAGGAAAGACTGCGCCGTGCTTTTGGACTGGTGCAGCTGCTTTCAGGTGTCTCGGCCTTTGGCATGCTTGGGAAGCTCAGAGTTGTGAAGTCGCGCAGTTCCATCGTTGCAGGAGCCTCGCTTTGCAGATGAAAGGCGCTCTGCCGAACGCTTTCTGCAGCAGGCTCGTGGTCGAAGTGTTTGTGAGTCTCCAAGCTTATAGAGGCATTTGTAAGTCGCACGGGTAACGAAGCATGTATGAAAGGTCTTAACACTCCTCATCCGATCCTGGAGCTTACCGCACGAGCCTGCGACACGTTTACCCGACGGGCACCTTTAGCCCAGAGCACAACTTGCTTCAGCCTCTCCAGCCTCTCCAGCCTTCAACCTGAGAGCAGCTTTCGAGCTACGCTGGAAGCTTTCGCCGGTGCTGTCGCAGGTTGGCCGATGGTTTGCGCCTGCGCCTCGTTTCGTGTGCGTGGTGATCAAACTCCACCTTGCAAGGAGAGGCTGGCCAAAGAGACTCTGCCCTGAGGCATGAGCACACGATGGTCTGGATGCTAACGAACTCGCCAATCGGAGCAGTCCGGGCCTGGGACAAGCTGCGATTCACAGTAGCATGTGGTCAGGGCAAGACTGCATCAGGAGCCCTTCAATCTACGGGGCTGGCCAACCTTCGAACGAGCGACGACCATAGCGAACCGACTCTTCAAGCCTGTGGCTCGGCCGTTTGAATAACCATCTCAGGCCGTCAGCTTGCTGCCGGCTGGCAGCAAGCAGGTCCTGGACATAGGCCGAGAGCAGAGAGCATAGCATGAGCATTCTCGCCCGATCGCCCACCTTGCAGCAGGCCGACTGACCCAGGAAGCACTACGAGCAGCCGACTGGCTCGGAACCCAAAACGCCACCGGAGCACCCAGTGAAAAAGCAGGCATCCCTGCAAGGCCTGCCGTGGTGCGCGCTTGCAAAGCCAGGAGACCACCGCCGTTGACGCCCTGCGCTCACGATTTCTGCAAGCAGTCGACACAGGGCCTCGCGCATGACCTGGCACCGAGGCCCTCTGAGTTTCATGCGCAACTGCAAAGGAAGCACTTCTCCTGGAGTCGCAATCTCAGCAGTACAGTCTAAGTACGTGAAACGAAGCTGCGCCAGCTTAGGCCTCGACCGCGATCTACTTGGAACACTTTACCAAGAAGCCTATGAGGACCAAAACGCAGCGAAACCTGTCCAGTGCGTGTCCAGTGCCGACCGAAATCTCAAAGCCAAAAGAGCTGCGGGTCGCCCGGTCGAGCCAGAGCTTAACCCCATGCCAGGGCTGCAAAGTCCCAAATACGAGCCTGCAAGACTGTAAACTAAACAACGGGAAGCCTTTCGAACTTCCAATGACCTGGGGAATCCTATCAGGATCTGGTCGCCGGAGCCGTTGAGATGCCTTTGGCGCGTCTGGACTGGGGAGACGAGGAGATGGGCCGGTGAAGCCCTTGGCACCGGGATCACAGAGAGACAAATCTCAACTAACGACAGAGAGAAGGCTCTATGGCACACTCTCCAGCTGTACTCAGCTGCAGCGTCCCGCGCCAAGACTGGGCTTTACAGCGGCCAGCAAGCCTATGCAAGCCTTGAGGGCGATAGAGTCGATGTTTTGCAGGCTTGAACCTGGCTCGGAATCGCATTGGAGACACGGGAGCGGAGAAGCTGGTCCGGGGCTCAAGAGCCGAAGATGAGCCACTCTTGTCTTGGAAGCAGGGAATTCAGAAACGCCCCCCCCCCCCTGAGGCGGAGACTATGTTAAGCAGCCCACGGCTCTTGCAGCCGGAGCCCCGATGCAGCTCCGACTCTAAGCTTTGGGGTTACAAAGTTTGGAGGTGGGATTTTCAGCCATGCTGTCAGCGAAACACTGCTTGCAGGTCACTGATCTTCTTGGACCTGTCGGGCAACGAGATCGGCGACCTGGGCCTTTGCAGTCAGGGGCTGAGTCCGCACCATGTCCTCTGAGCAGCGCTGTCTGAATGCAAAGATGGAGCAGCTGAAAATGAGAAGCAACCTGTTCTTCCAATCTGGAGTCCTCCTCATTCCTAGATGTTGAAAAGGAAATGAGGTCGGAATCCTAAGGTCCTAAAGTTGTAAAGCAACACCTGTGCCATCCCAGGCCTGGCAGCGGTGCTCCCCAGCTTGTCCGACATCCAGTCGCTGGAGCTGGACCGCTTGAGTCTCAATGTGCACTACTAGTAACTAGTACCGCTCTGTGAAATGATCTAGGGCTGTAGACGATCAGCATTATTGTCTTCCTGCCACACAACTGTCTCTGACGTATGCAAGGCAATTTCATCGGAGACCAGGGTGCCTGCGGCTTGGCCACTGCTCTCCCTCACACAGGCCGCACGCTGTCCTTCTTGAGGGGCGCGCATCGTGCTCCCATCTCGACGAGTCGCATCTTCGAGGGATTGCGCTTGGAAGAAAGCACAGCAGTAGCCGAGAAAGGTTGAAGGTCCCCACCGACTGAACAGCGAACCCGAAGACTTCTTTGCAGTCAGCATCGATGCACAAGATGCTTTTGGTCAGTGTTGAGCCGAAGCGAGGCAAAGGAACGACCTTCACAGGTGCCTTCACGGCTTTGCGAGCTTGGCCTAGGATAGATTGCCAGGACGGGATCGAGCTGGAACCAGCCTGTGTCAGCAACAAAGGCAGCATCGAAGACACGAATCACACACCAAGCCAACAAGAGGAGAATGGCACAGGAGAGCGAGACACTCCACCTCCAAGAAACAAGCATGTTAATTGAAGTGTTCTTCGCTCGTCTGTACTCTTGTGAGGGCTCTGTGCAAACGTGGAAATGATCTACTGTCGTCGGCCATGCATGTCGCAGCTGCCTAGGTCAAACGCAGAAGGCACAAATCGATTTGTCGGGGTTGAACTGCATTGTACCGGCTCTCCAGAGCCATGGATTCCGCTTCCGATCTGTCTAACAAGTTGCCTTCCAAGCATCTAGTATTTACACCACCTAGCAGACTGATCCGGGGTAGGTTGCATTCGGGCGGTTATCATTCAAAAGTAGACCGGTTCAGGTTGCAGTGGTGTTCAGCCGTGGGAGCGGTATTTCGAGAAGCTATCCTGCTCATGTCAGGCATCAGGTCAGCTTTGGGCTGGTTTCAGTTTGCGTGAAGGGCTACGTGGACAGTGTAGGTGAGGTCAGGACAAAGCACATAGATGCATGTATCATGAGGTTTGGGTATACGTATGAATACGTTGCCTTGAATGTGCAGTACTTATTGGGTTGGACCACGCGGGATGAAATCACATCGCACTATCTAGCAGCTAGCAGAGCATCTTCGGGTCCAAGGGTGCGATTGGGTTCTCCACATGCAAAGCCGGGGTGTTGCCGTGTTTTTCCCTGTGCCGAAAATCTAGACGGATTGAACTGCAGGTTCAGTCAATCCACCGATAATCTACCATTGCAAGTGTGCTTCCTGCATTCGTCAGGAGGCTGAGTGAAGCAAGGTAGGATTTGGTCCGTCCGTTGTGTGGCCCAAGCGGCGAGGGAAGAGCGTCACGGCAAAGTGATCCGTCGCCTATACCAGCGCAACTGTAAAACGGACGTCCAGCTCCATCTAAAATGCTGCTGCCCCCCAAAAGGCACGCAAGCTTTCAGGGTCAGAACGCATGAGCCTCACGTGTTTCCCCGCGGGTATAGCCGTCAGACTCTGCGCACCCGTCACAGGCTTGAGACGGCTCGTCCTTCGTGGGCGTGGACCTCGGTCGGTTTATGCCTTGCGCAAGCAACGATAATCGATCGACTGCACGAGCCGCAACAGTAGCTCACGTGTCGAAGGAATGAAATCGGTGACGGTGGTGCCGGCGAACTTGTCAGTCCCTCATCGCTTAGACTGCAAGACAAAATCAGGTGACATCAGAGGAGTCATCGACCAAGGCACTCGTAATGCCGCGCTGCAACAGCTTGCAGCTCCTGGATCTGAGTGAGAACGAGGCTTCAGTTAGCTAGCAGTCTCAGATGTTCTGGGCCGTTGACTCGTTTTGTCCGCGCTTTGCATTTTGCCTGTCTTGCTTCGAAATCGAAGAGATGGGGTCGGGGCATGTGCTGCGAAGTCACGAGTCAAGTGTGGTGAAGCAGGTCAGCGACGTGGGCGCCGAGCGATTTGCCGCTGCTCTGCCAAAGTGCGACAAGCTCCAGAGGCCGCAGTCAAGCCTGGCCAAGCCGCGTGAACCCAGAGAGCCCAATACCCCTTAATTAAGGAATATACCTTAAGTTATAGGGGCCTTAATACTATGATTTGAGGTATATTCCTGAATTAAGGGGTATTGGGCTCTCTGGGAGAGCTCTCCTCAAAGCTCTGGCTTTTTCCTTTGACTGGACTGGGAGGTTTGACCTGGCACGGAATCGAGTAGGAGATCGTGGTGCATTGAGCCTTGCCGCGGCTTTGCCCAAGTGCAAGCTTGAGGCAGGATCTGCTTCTGACAAGGTCTAACTGCACTTTATAAAACTGCCTGAAATGGTGCAGTCTGCCTGCATGTCATGTTGCTCGATCTTCTTGCATTTTGCTGCACGACGTTTGCATGAGGCCTTCGGCCTTGGAGGGCACGAAGTTGGGGAAATCTTAGGTGGAGGGCGCATTGGCCGTGGCCTCGGTTGAGGGCTCGTTCCTCTAAACCCGTCTTGAATTGAAGTGGCATGGAGCATGGAAAGGTGATGGGGGTGCAGGGTTGCTGGCATCGGCTCTACTGCGGTGCGAGCGTCTGTGCAGGCTAGACTTGAGCACGATCCTCAGGAGGTATCGGCTGCTAGTACCTTGCAGCTCTGCCATCCCGAATACTAGGTGAGAATCAAATCGGCGATGGTGGCACAGCGCAGCTAGCTGCTGCAGGGTGCCGAGTGCTGCGTAGGTAAAGCCCAGTGAGCGACGCAGCAACGCTGGCAGCAGCAAACTTCTCAAGTATCCTCAGGCTATGCCACATTGTGGTCAGCTTGCCGAGCTTTTCGCTCAGCACACGGGTCGCCGGCAATTGTAACAAATCCAAGTTTCAGTTCTGTGGGCATGCCTGAGTCTGCAGTTCGTCTTGGGACTTTGGGGCATCTCGGGTCCTCGGATTTCGCGACTAGTAAACCCTCCGAGTCTTGAGGCGCCGAGGCTGAGCACTGCAACAGGAAGAAGCGCGAAGAAGCAGATGTCAACCAACTGTCCTAACCGGAGAGTCTGCGTCGGCATGCCCTACTGTGTTTGCTTCGGTTTGCTTGTGAATGCGCTTGCTATCTGCCTGAAACTCTAGGGGGTATTGTGCCGCAATGTTCCTTACATGTTCATGCATCGCCAAGGCTCGACCTGTACCGCAATTGCATTGCCGACCGGGGCGTCGGAAGGCTTGCAGAGGCATGGAACGGCGAGTCTTTCACATTTAACAAGATGCGAAGCAATGACTGGCTTCGGGAGGCAGTGCCGCAATGTGGCCATCTCGACTGGCGCGGCTCGCAGAGTGCAGTAGTCAACCGCAGCCAGTATGTTGAATCCTGATCCAATCCCAAGGCTTCGTTTGCTCGAGAATCCCGTCGGTGCCAAAGGCGCGCATCGACTGGCAGAAGCCTGGGAGGCTCGGTGCCCGGACTTGCCCCTGGCTACTGCCACTGCTCGGGCTCAGTGGCTCAAAGCGAGGCTGCCGGAAAGCCCAAAGGGCAAGGTCCCTAGTGCAGCGGTAGTGCAGCGGTGTATCTCGTTGAGGCACAGACGAGGGGCTCGTGCTGAGGCGACTGCTGTGTCAACCGGGTGCAAAACATGGAGGCTCGCTGGCCCTTGCAGCTTTCATGTTCAGACCGGTTCACGTGTGACATCATGTGACAATGTGACACAACATGCTCCACCCCTCTGCAGGTTTCGCCGGCTACGCTGGCTGGGCAAGCTGGGGCAGCAAGATGCCCAGCTGCCTTGCGGGCTTCGAGGCTTACATTCGCAGCACTTCCTCAAGCACATCTCCGGCTCAGGTCCCGTGGTTCCCGGCGAGGGTCCACAAGTTTCGGGACGAGGTCAGGTTAGGGACACGAGAAAGCTCCCCAGCTCTGCCGTGTTTTGCCACGAGGCACCAAAGAAGCCGCAGCTCCAGTCTCCTCACTCACATCACTGCCGGCCTCGAAGTTTCCGATAGAACCCTCTGTGGCCTGCTATTGCGGACGCAGCCGAGGTGACGGGAAGACGGTGAACTCGTCGCGCGCATGCTTCTCAGTCGAAGAGGGCTGGGTCTGGGCAGCACAGGTCCGATGACACTGATGCTCGTAGTTACGATTAGTTACGCAGTCATGCATCATTTTGGGGAATCTTCCGAAGATGGCATCCAAACCAAAGGCGGCTGCCCGCTATTGCAAACATCACAGGGTTCGTAGACTCTGCACAGTACCACCTCAACAGCGACTTATTTGCTGAAACAAACATGAGCGCGAACGAATCTGAATGTTTGAGGTCTAGTTCTGGCTCTGGAGTTAACCAATCACCCCGCAAAGTCGAGGAGCATTGGTGAGCAAAAACAAGACAAGCTGTCGAAGCCGTCCGGACATAGAACCTTGCGGACTTTCAAGCGACTTTGCGAGGAAGTGCTGTGATTCGAAGCCCAGCCGGCACTGGCTCGCTGTCATGATCCGCCGCTGAGGCGGTATTCTGCTTGGTCTCGTTCCTCGTCTTCTGTGGCTGCTGATGCGCATCAGTGCCACAAATTACCTTTTGGCAGCCCACCACCGCGGCAGCTTCGACTGTACAAAGCCTGCGAAGCTTTTGTCGCATGAGGGGTTTTTGAACAATCCAACACATCCCACAAGTGAGCGTTGATAATACGCTGTACCAACATGCAGAAACATAAGAACCCCGGGGTGGTCAGCGATCTCCCTCGCAGATGCGAACTTTTTGGACTCTGAAATCCCGAAGCCTTTTGGGGGCACAAGGCTGTCAAAGGTGAAGGGTGTGATAAGGAGGTTTGGAGAGTTTGGATATCTAGACAACTGTCAATAGTACACTAAGGCTGAAACATAGCTGACGCATGGAGTAAGTTAGTGGCATCTGTCTGTATGCATGCAGAGAATCGTTTGCCAACCTATCCTCTCATGTCTAGTGCCAGTGCAGCCAGTCATGCACCAGGCTCGGGCTTTGGCAGGCTGCTGGCTCGCAAGTTGTCTCACTCGTCTAGACTTCGCAGGCGCACTCAAGGTGTCCTTCGAGCAAAAGGGTTTTCTCTCGGCTTGTGTCGGGAGCTTTGAAGTGCGTTTGGTCGTATCTGCGGCACGACGACCGGCCTGCAGATAGAAATGCCAACTTAATGCACCAAAGAAACGCAAAAACGGACGATTGGTGTTGGGATCCCCCATGCGTTACTCGGGGGGCACGAGAACGAACATGTTCCAACTGTCTCGCAAGTACGTTGGTGCATCTGTCTGAAGGGCCTCGACAACGAAGTACTCGTAGGTACTAGAGCATGCTTCCAACTCCGCTTTTCTTTGCAGGCCTGCCATCACTATCCGGGTTCAAGTGCAGTGCCCAGTTCAAGGTCCTTCTTCGCACGCGCGAACAGGGCGCTGCCGCCGAGTAGGGCTCGCGATCATGGAAAACAGCGCAAACCAATGGCTCCACAGAGATCGGCTGATCGGCTTCGTTTCGCTACAGAACGGAGTAGAGTCGTTCATTTGACGTCGCAGATGATGAAGCGAGCCTTTAGTTTGTGCAAGCCAGCTGTCGAACAGATTCTTCTAGTAACACTCAGACCAAGATCCTTAGTCCTGGCGCTTGTTTGGGCAAGCGCTCATTGATTTATGACCGGCTGCCTGTCTCCGCGATGATCTCAGTTTCCGTTGTGTCGCCGCTCTGGAGCGATGACGGTGATGCATGTCTAGTCGCAGAAGGCAGCAGCGGTGTGAACGATGCAGCAACTTTTCCATGCAGCTAGATGCAGTTTCGGTATCCGAACAATGCAGCGAGCAGTGTGAGCCATGGCTGCGATGCCCGAGTCTGTGAGTCTGCGTGAGACTTGTGACATTGCTCGCCGCTGATGCCGCAGCAATCCAAAGTAGAGAGAACGATCCTCGGTGAGATCGCTGAGGATCAGGAAGATAAGAGAAAGCGTCGCGAGTTTCGCCAGAAGCAACAAGCACGAGCCGAGCGCAAAAGGTTGAGACAAGAGGAGAAGCTTCGTATCCAGAAGGAGACCAAGGCAAAGAGGGAAGCCCGGAAGAGGCAGCGTGAAGCACAGCGCATCTTGGGCCATGAGGCCGCCCTTCCGGGCAGACCACACAGCGCGTCCAGGACGCCAGGCGATGAAGGCTCAGACCTGGGAGACACAGCCATTACTGTGCGGTCGGAAGATGATATGCAACCCAGATTGCAGAGATCAGGAACCACGGTCTCTGGTATGTCTTATGGGACTCGTACATCGGATTCATCTGACAATTTAGGGGACAGCGATGATGAAGCGTCTGGGCGACACGGAAGCAGGCGGATGACACCGCAGCTGAGCAGGCAGGCATCCCGGAATTCACTGCGAGGGCAGCAGCGTCCGACCACCGGGTCGATGTTCGACGATGCCCCCAAGAAGCTCAAGTCTTCAATCACGGGTGCCATCAGTGGTGGACTGCAAAAGACGGGCGCCAAGGTGATAAGGACAGGCACGACGGTAGGGTTGCTCCTTGGAGTGGTACCTTCCAAATCATCTCGGGACTTCTTGCGGAGGAAGGTGGCGAAGCTACTCCCCAAAAGGATCCAGATTGGAAGGCTCAGGAATTCGGGTAGCAAGGAGACGGCGGATGACGACGACGCAGCATCCGAGGACAGCGAGACAGAGCAGATCAAGGAAGTTCGGCGCAAGTTCAAGGAGAAACAGCTGCGTTCGTCAGCCTCCCTTGATGGTGGTGCCAATGACAACATCCTTGCACGTGCCAGGGAAGCTGTGGGCATTCCCGAATCGGAGGAAGAGTACTCGTGCTGGTTGCGCATGCAAAGTAGGACTGGCATCTTGTGGTGTCGCATGCAAATCGCAGTGCGGAAGATCCATGTTGCGGACCATCCCCCTCATCCTTCTTTGAAGAAGTTTGTCGAGTCGCTGCGCTTTGAAGCAGCAATTGGTGTCCTGATTGTCCTGAACGGGATCATCTCAGGCATGGACGCCATGTACAAGGCAGATGAGGAAAGGGCACCGTTCATCACTTGGGCCGAGAACTTTTTCGTGGTAGTCTTTGTCTTGGAGTACTTTTTACGCTTGCGCGCATCTACATGGGTCTTCATGTTCGAGCCCATGAACATATTCGATACCTTTGTGGTTTGGGTCACAGGTGTCCTTGTTGTTTGGATTCTGGAGCCAAGCGGAATAACCTTCGACCCTCTGCGCCGTCTGGCCGCGCTGCGAGTCCTGCGCTTGGGTCGCTTGGCACGTGCCGTGCGAACGAAGCCGATGTTCCACGAGCTGTGGATGCTGGTGAGCGGCGTCTTGGAATGTTTACCACTTCTATTCTGGTCAATGGTGATCATCGCGATCGTGCATTTCATGTTTGCAGTGGCAGTCATGGAAATCATCACGAAAGCAGAAGTGTTTAAAGGAAACGACACGGTGTGGTTCTACTTCCCAACCTTGGCCTATTCCATGTTCACCCTATTCCAGTTTATGACCTTCGACAGTTGGGCAGGCCCTGCCCGGGAAATCATCGCAGTGATGCCGGAAGCAGCTGCTCTCATCCTGTTCTTCCTAGGTGTGGCCGGAATTGTGCTGTTCAACCTAATGACGGCCATCGTCGTAAAGAACGCTTTCGATGCAGCAGAAGCTGATGAGGAGGCCAAGGCACAGCAGCAGGTGCAGAACCAGGCCACGATGGCTGCTGACTTGAGAGAGATGTTTGTGGCTCTTGATGAAGATGGCAGTGGCACATTGAGCCGGGAAGAGTTCACAGATGTGCTGGATGATGTCATGTTCATTCGGCATATGAAGAAGTTGGACATTGACTTGGAAGAGTTGCCTGACATCTTCGACATTCTGGATGATGGTGACGGCAACATTACGACAGAGGAGTTCTGCATGGGCCTGACTCGATTGCAGGGGGTGGCAATGAGTCGCGACATGTTGAGATGCACCTCACGCAATATGCAGCTCAACGCGCTCTTTGCCCAAGTGTCTGAATGCATGGGCGTCAAGGTTGACAATACCTTGGGCAAGATGGAGATGAACATGGAGGCAACACACGAGAACCTCGTGGAGTTGCAGCAAATGACCGCAGAAGTCTTGAGGAAACTCGAAGAGGCCGGTCTTCACAGAGCAGTTCGCTCAACCACTGAAGGTTTGGAAGAACTCCCACCCCCCACCTTGGAGGAAATTGCAAAGCAAGAAGAAGAAGCCGCGCGACAAGCGGACCTGGCCAAGTTCGGTCGTGCCACTAAAGTCGTAAAGCAAAGTTCGCAGCCACGTGCAACAGAAAGCTTCCCACGGATTCCAGCGACGTGGGTCCTGACAAGGAAACAAGATTTGGAGCAGCGGAAGCAGGCAATGCGAGCTCAGCAGTGGGAAGATGTGGCAGCAGAGACCGTCAAAGAAGTCCAGGAGCTGCCAGGTGTTTTGCAGGAGTTTCAAGAGACCTGGTCCGGCTTGGACGTGCAAGTTCCCCAGCAAACCAGGGAAGACCGCATCGCGCAGACGATCAAGACTTCTTCAAGCAAGTCCCAATCTGAAAGCACCGACGAGCTTAAGTTGCCTGCTAAGCTGCCATCGGCGCTGGCACCTCGGAGTATGCCCCAGCAGGAGGAAGCTGATGGCCAGGAAGCAGCAGAAGAAGCAGACGCCGGGGAAAAAGTCACGAAGGACGTCAATAAGATGAACATCAAAGAGCTGAAAGAAGTTGCTGACAGCCTGGGGTTGGAGCATGAAGGCTTAAAGAAGGTGCAGCTTCTTCCGCTCGTCATTGCCAAGCAGGAGGAGCTAGCGAACTTGGGCAAGGCACCACTGAGTATGATGTGACTCACGAAGGCATAAGCCACATTAGCCCAGCAACAGGGCTGCGCTGCCAAGGCTCTTGCTTGCACATTCACTGGTCTTTGGCCATTTGCAGGTTGACTCGCCGAGACGTTTCACCAAGGTAGATCGTGGGTACACTCAAGGTGTCCTGCGAGAAAAACATAACTCTTCCGCAGAGACTGCTGTCGGAAAGCTTTGTCACGTGGAGGTTTTCTTCGGCAAGCCAACCACCGTGTCAACCTGCAGCAATCACAGCTCGATGCGACCATGATCGCTTTATCTTCAGAACCTAGCAATGCTGGCTATTGGTCTTGCGATGCACAAGGAGACAAGATACCTTAGTGAAGCCTTCGTGTGCACTTCAGGCACTTCAGATTGTGAGAAGCGGGCACTTGTATCTAATGTCCATGTCGACATGTCCAAAGCCTCTGCTGATGGACGACTGCATGATCCGAAAACGAGAATTCGGCCAGACACTCGGTATGCGCCATGCGCAGCACACGGGCAGCAAATAGCGCTTGTCCGCTCACGAGGTTTACCGCGCAGAACCCCAAGAGACAAGGGAGCGACAGCTGGAAGAGGCACACAGCTGCATCAGCTGCCATGTGAGATAATTGGGGTATGGAGCAAGCAGGAAGGCCGGCAAGCAAGCAAGCAAACAAGCAAACAGGCAAGCAAGTACTTACAGACGGCACTGGTATTGTGCGTATCCTTATTGCTTTGAAGTAGTTATTGCAACGCGTTCTGGGCAGGTATGGTGTGGTTTCCGAGTACATTGTAACGAAAGAAAACTCCAACCGGCCCACCCTTCCAATCCAGTGCTCCTGTCTTTACAATCACAAGGGTTTCACCGGCTTGCGCATCGGGGCGAGACGAAGCGGGAGCACGATTGTGAGGGGAAACGGAAGACAGGTCATGAAAATAGCTGTGCACAAAAGCCGTCGTGCAACCTATTACTTCAAGCTTCTTAGACGAGCACTCTATGTATGAGTTATATGAACGTGTGTGTGCATGCATGCATGCATGCATGGATGGATGGATGGATGGATGGATGGATGGATGGATGTATGTATGTACGTGATGATAGGTAGACAGTTAGGTAGATGGACAGGTAGATAGACAGATAGATAGGCG